CACGTGCGGGACCTGCAGGTCATCGATGCCTACCGGGAGCACACCAAGGGCGAGAGCATCTCCCGGATGCTCAGCCAGGCCATCACCGCCACCCACACCGTGCACGCCGTGCTGGGCACAGCAGAGTTCTTTGAGTTCCCTCTGAAGAACCCCTACAGCATCCGGCACACCGTGACCATCGAGGTTGACCATCCTGAGCTCAGGTTGGGGCTGAAGTGGGGTCTCCCCAGTGCATGTGGGGAGATGCCAGGGTGGCACTGGGTCCCAACCAGTCCTCACCAGCACCTCTGCCGCTCGCTACCCCAGTGTCATACTGGACTCAAGGGAGTGGCGTCACTTCAAGGAGCTGACCAAGAGCATCACACCGGTGGAGGAGGAGATGTTCCATCTCTGTGATGACCTCAGGCCTCAGGTCTACCTGCGCCCCAACGAAACTGTCCGCATCCCCTTCAAATACCAGACCTTCTCCGCTGACCCCGCTGTTGTCGCAGCACAGGTTGGCACAGACCCCCGTTCCGAGCTGGTCCCAGGAGGAAGTGTTTCCCTGGGTGGTGTTTGCCTGCGCAGGGCAGGGTGGTACCGCCCCAGGGAGTGCTGCTGGTGCTGCATCCCGAGGGAAATTGCTCTTGTGTCCCACAGGGACCAACTGGGCTGGGAACCGGTGCTGAGGCCATGGTGAAGAGCGGGACTGGGCAGACGAGGCACATCCAGGTGAGGGAGAGGGGGGAACACGCTGCTGGAGGGGCTGTGCAGGAAGAGAAGTGTCACTCGTGCAAAACCACGTCCCCCCGGGGACAGGTCTCTTTCCAGGTGAGCGGGGGGAAGCCCATTGCGCTTCTGCGGGTGAAGGTGGAGCCGCAGCCCCACGTGGTGGACCAGACCTTCCGCTTCTACCACCCGGAACTCACCTTCCTGAAGAAGACCATTCGCCTGCCCCCCTGGCACACCCTCCCTGGTGAGCCATGGCGTGCCCAGTGGGGACTCAGCTCTTCCTCCTCAGTGACATCTGTGGTTCAGAGGGGCTTTCCAGGGGCATCCAGAGAGCTCATCTCTGCTTCCTCCCCCTTTCACAGCTTTGTGCTCCCTGCTTGCTCTTCATCCACTTCCCTGCATTAATTTTCTATTTAATTCCCCAGTATGCCCGAGTAGTTTACTGGTAGCCCAGCCTAAGGGATCCTGGTCTGGTGCTGCGTGGGTGCAGGGGACAAGCACAAACAGAAAATGCAGAGCACGTTTTCACCTCCATCTCTCTCCTCTGCAGGTGCACCAGTGGGGATGCCAGGGGGAGAACCTGAGATGTTTGTTCGCTGCAGTGACCCTGACATCATTTGTGAAACCAAAAATATGGTACTGGTTACACTTCTGTCCTCTGTGTCCTTCTGCTGTGGTGTCTGGGCGCTGTGTGTCCTTCCCTGTGTGCTGCCCTTGCTTTGCAGTGCCTAGCCAAGGTTTCCTGGGTTTACTTTGCAGCTGGGGGAGGTAGGAAGGAAAAATCAACTTGCACACATAGGTGCAGATGGCGACGAAGGGTAGTTGCTGATTGGCGTTGCAGAAACGTGTTGGTATGGTAATTGGATTAGGGCTTGTTAGAAAACTTGGGGAAAATTTGCCAAAATTTGATTACAGATGCAGACCTGGAATGCGATAGTCATTTGTATCCTCTTTTGTAATTAAAAATACTGGAAGAGCTCAGCCAAGCTGTATAATAACTTAATAACACAGTTTAACTAGATGCTGAAAGCATCTGCTTTCGGAAGTGGGTTGGTGGCGGGTTTTTCCCTTAATGGGAAGGGACCCCTGGGGTCCTCGTTAACTGGCAGGTTCTCCTGGTTCACTGTTGGAAGGACTCTCTGCTTTCTGTGCACAGGGGCCTGGGGAACCACAGGACATCTTCTTAAAAGTAGCAGGAGGACCAAGCCCGCAGATCAAGAAGTTCTTTGTTGCTATTTATATGTAAGTAGCAGAACCCCAAAATGTGAGAAACACCCTGAGTGTGGGGCGAGAGAGGAGGAGAGCTCGTGCTGTGTTCTCCTTGCGTGTGGCTTCCCAAGCCTGGTCAGCTTTGCTGGGCAGCAGAACATGGGCAGGAGGCTTCCCAGAGTGTTTGCAGCTCAGGGTCTGTAAACAATCCATGTCTGGGCATCCTGGTGTGCTGGCTAATGCCTCCTGAGCCAGCCAGGAGTGGGTGCAGGGACCAGGCTGTCCCTGCATCCAGCGATGCTTTGGGAATGGGTGGGACTGACAGAGGTTCCTTGGAAGAAGCTTGTCCCGAGTTCATGCTCCTGCTTTGGGCTCCTCGCTTGGTGTTCAGCCGCTCGTGCTGAGCCCATGATGCTGTCAGTGAGCCCTGTCTGTCCGTCTGTCTGTGCTGCAGGGACGCCTGGCTGGCAGCACCTGTCCAGATCTGGCAGTTCTACCTGCACTCGCTGCAGCGCCTGGACGTCAGCTGCACGGCCGGGCAGCTCACTCGCCTCTCCCTGCTGCTGCGGGGCACCCCAGCCCCACGGAGGGTCCGGGCATTCAGCTCCCACCCCCAGGAGCTGGAGGTAACCCCCTCATGGGTGACATAGGGCTGGTGAGGTCCTTTGTGGCTGTGGTGAGCAGGGAGCTGGCCTGGACCAGGGGTGAGATCCCCTCCAGCAAGGGAAAGGCAGCCCACTCGGAACTGCGAACAATTTACTGCCGCAAAGTGTTTGTGATAATTATCTTTTGATTAGAGCTGTCATGTGTAGGATCATTGGCACGAAACCCCGGAGGGCAAATTATCTGCATTAACGAGACCTTCTGAAGACTAACAATTTCTTGGGCCATAATTGCGAATGTGAATAATAACAGACACCAAAACTCCATCACTGTCCCCTCAACAACAGAAAAACCCTCCCTGGGCAAAGGCTGCGAGGGGAGGGGGGTCCCTGGGCTGGGGGGGAGCTGGCTCTGCCTGAGCAGCTCTTGTCCTTCCTGACAAGAAGCTAATCCCAGTGTATTCATGTAGGTGGGGCTCGGTGGAGGTGGGGTTGGTGTGCAGGTTTTTAAGAGCCATGGAGTGTAGTTGGTGCTGCAGTCTGGATGTCACAGGCTGCCACAGCTCCCGGTGCTGCTTTCCACAGGTGGATCCGGACGGTGCCTTCCTGCTCCCCGCCAACGGCATCCAGGATCTCTACGTGGGCGTGCGGCCTCGGCGTGCTGGCAACAGGTTCATCTACCTCAACCTGGTGGATGTGGAGTCCCACCAGCTGGTGTCCTCCTGGCTGCTCTGCCTGTCCTGCAGGCAGCCCCTCATCTCCAAGGTATCAGAAAAACGTGGTGATGGTGCTGGACTGGTGGTCGCTGTCTGGCTGATAACCCAGGGCTGTCTCCTGCTTCTTCCTCTCTTGATATCTCTGGTGGTTTTCCACCCTGAGCACACCTTTAGCCCTTGGGTGCTCCAATAATCTTGCTGAAGATCAGGGTAAAGTGTCTCTCAGGCTGTTTTGAAGGCAAATCCCATGCTGAGGAGTGTCAGCTCCTGGTTGTGAAATTAAAGCTGCAGCACGCTGTGTTCTATTAGCGCTGTGCTGGCAGAGCCCTTGCCCCAAAGACAGAGAATTAGATTTTTCCAGCTAATGTGTTCCTTTTAAAAATGTTTTCCCGAAGGCTCAGTACCGAGGGAAGTTCAGATTGGTGTTTAAACTGGTGTCCTGCCCTGTGCCAGCCCACTGCTGGTGCCGTGGGTCATTATCTGAGTGAGCCCCATGGCTCTCCCTGGGGACATCTGTTAATTAGCTGGAGAATGAGCTGGCTGGTCCCCACTGCTCCCCTGGCCCTTTGTCGTTTGGGCTCGTAATTACTTCTGCAGGCAGAGTGAGGAGGATGCTTTTGCTCCAAGGTGGTTTCTCTACCTGCTGCTTGAGATGGAGTGTGAGGTGTGGGAGGGGAGAGGAGGGGACCAAGGCAACGTGTCCCCGGGGTGTGTGGGTGCAGGGGGCAGATCCTCCCTGCCCAGTTTGGTCCCTCGGTGCTGCCTCTGCCATGGTGTGTGCTCGGTCCACAGGCCTTTGAGATCTCGCTGCCGGCGGGAGGCGGGAGAGGCTGCAACAAGCGCATCACCTACACCAACCCCTACCCCTCGCCCAGGCTCTACTTCTTGTGCACCAACCGCCCCGACCTCCTGCAGTTCAAGGAGGATTCCTTTGAGGTACGGCCTCCCCTGTGCCAGACCCTCCCCTCGTCCAGCTGGACCATGCGCCGTGGGGACACGATGCGCCGGCGGGTGTGGGGTGTGATGCTCGGCGGGTGCAGGATGCGATGCCACGGGAGGACCGTGCCAGCCTGGGAAGGGTGGGCACATGGAGGGTCCTGGGCTGGTCCCTGAGGCCTCTCCTCCCGCAGGTTGCTGGTGGGGAGGTGTACACCATCGGCTTGCGCTTCGCCCCGAGCCAGAGCCTGGGTGAGGAGGAGATCCTGATTCACATCAACGACCACGAGGACAAGAACGAGGAGACCTTCTGCGTGAAGGTTCTCTACCAGTGAGGCCGCTGCGGCGAAGCGGCTGGTCCCTCGGCAGCACCCGCTCCGGGGAGCCCGGGGGTCCGCCAATCGGGGATGCCTGTGGCTCTGCAATGGGGACCTGTGAGCGCGGTGGCCTCATAGTCACCTCGCCGAGCCGGGGGGTCCTGCTGTCTGCCGGGATCCCCGCGCGTTGCCGTGAGCACCGGTGGTGCCGCGCCATCCCTCTGCTCAGTCAGGGAGAGCGAATGTGTGTGTTACCACAGCCACGGGATGTCTTTATTTGTGTTCAGTGTTACTGTATTTCAGGCATTGTGTTGCAATGTTGTTTTTTAACTTAAAAAGTTTGCAGATTGGATTCTGCGGAATATTTTGAGGGTATTTTATATTTTACACTTTTGCACACACTTGAAGCACTTTTCTGGGATTTTTTTGGATACTTTTTACTTATCTTTGGTTAATTAAACTTGCTGAATAGAACTGGCAGAGTGTGGTGGCGTTTTCTTCCGTGGGAGGTGGAAACTCCTGGAATCCCTGTGCTGTGAAGGCAAGTGGCTTGTCCTGGCCGCTGGCGCGGGGCTTTTTTTTAGTCCCCTGAGGGTGGTGAGTCCCTGCTCAGGCTGGCAGAGGGGGGTCCCTGCCAGCTTTGGGCAGAGCCCCAGCAAGCAGCCCACCCCCCCGAGAAGACTTGTGCCCCCATGTCACAGATTTCCGGGGTCGGAGGCTGGTGAATGAGTGGCCCCGATGAAGTTGTGTGCCGAGTTCCTCCGCCTCCCTGGGCCTGATCAGAGATGACAGCTAATATTTTAAAAATGATTATACTGTCTGCGGCACAGAGAGGCCCCCAAGTCGGGTTATTAAAGTAGATTAGCTGAATAATTTTCATTACGTTTTTCATGCAATGAGATTTCTTGAGGCTCATGAATGAGCTGGTGCTGTGCCCTCAGCCGCTCGAGCGCCGGGTGTTCGCAGCCGCCGGTAAATGATGAGCCGGCGGATGCGGGGACTTGAGCTGAGCTGGTAGCTCGGTGGCTCTGCTGCCATTAAATGTGACCAGCTCCTGCTTCCCCCGGCACACAGCTGTGCTGTGGCTTTGACCCCAGAACTGCTGAGGCCATTAAGAAAAGTTGAAGACTTTTCACTGGGAAGTGGAGGTGTCTCGTGTCCTGGCTCCTTCGGGAGGGCCCTTGTGGGAGCCTGGGCTTTGGCTGGATGTGCCTCTAGCCCAAACTTTAAAAAGCAGTTTATTTTTCCCATTATGAGGATGAAAGTGTGGCTGCCTGAGAAACCTCTAATTAAACAAAAGCTCACTGTAATATTTGCTGGGAGCTTGCCAGCCTTGTAATATGACATTACCCGGTATCTTCATTAGCTGAAATGAGTATTTAGAGTCTCTGCCAAATGGAAAGCGGATAGATTCATTTGAAAGTGGCACCACAGCACCAAGCAAACGCTTCTGCAATCTGCTGCTGGGGCAGAGGGTGGCTGCTGTCACCCTGTGTGGTGACATCCCCCAAGCATGGCACCTTCTTATGACAGATGTGGTGTGCAGGAGCCCTCTGGCTGGTGCTGGCCATGCACTGCCTCTCCCCAGGGAGGGTCCCAGCACCTTGTCTCCTAGAAGAACCTTTTAAAAGCTGTATCTTCAAGGATCATTAATTTTCCTATCTGAGAAGGAAGGAAAGGTGTTTCCAACAGGATGTGAACTTGGAGTCCCTGTGGCTGCCCATACTGGGACCATTGGTTGTCCAGTATCTGGAGGCAGAGGACGTGATTGATTCCTGGTGCTCGCCCTCCATAGGCAATACACGAAGGAATATTTAATCCAATTACAATTCTCTCTCATCCCCTAGAAGTTCAGGGCTGGTACTTCTCCAAAGTGAGGAGTAAGATGTTCTTCTGCAGAGAAAAATCCCCTTTTGGTTATTAATATGTAGCCTAAACATCCTGGCCTTGGGATTGGGAGGTTTATTCCCCATTTCTCCCACGTGTCTTCCCAAAGTGCACCACTGACTTGGTAAAAACCTGATGTAATGGTTACAAAACCCAGAGATAAAGCTGCTCTTAATGGAATTCGTTAAGATCAGGGCTGTCAAATACCAGGCTCAAAATCCTTTCTACAACAAGAGCGACTCTATTAAGTGCACTCAATCAAAACCAGCTGCAGTAAGTGAAACACTGGCTGTAGGAAAAGCATTTTCTGAGCAGCTCCAGCAGCGAGGAGGCTGGAGGGGGAGAGGAAAAGCCTCCGAGCTGCTGCGCTCCCGTTCAGCCGGGACGGGTGGGATCTGAGGGGCGTGTTCAAAGCGCGTCCTCGCTGTCTTGTCAGGTCCTGTTGGGAAGAGGGTGACAGGAGCCATCGCTCTGGGTGCTGGGGTGACACATCCTCAGCCGGTGGCCTTTGCCTGGGGCAGCAGCCCAGGATGCAGCAGCCAGAGCTGCGGCGAGGGGATGCTCACAAATATATGTCAGAATCCACCGTCAGGAACGTCGGCTCCTTCCCAGCAGAGCTCGTGTCCTGCTGGGTTTAAAGTCGAGTGTGGCCTCTGCGTTTGCAGCACTCAGAGGGGTTTTGGGGGCTTTGATGGGACTTTCTGCAGCTGTTGGGTGAAGGAGACGGGGCCCCTCCAGCACCGACCGCTCTGTGCCCGCAGCCAGGGCTTCAATGCAGTTTTTAATAGTAATTCCCAGCCACATAATGAGAAATTTGCAGCATTTATAAACTGCCGGTTGCTTTTAAATAATTTCCTTTCTTTCTGTCCCAGGCTTGACATTTGATGAAGAATTGAGGCTTCGTGTTCATTTACCAATTAATTTACTGTACAGCGGCGGGGAGCAGCGTCCACCCCAGTGAAGGTCAGTGGCATGGAGTGTTTGCTTGTTGTTTCCAAATACTGTTGAGCTTTTTAAATGAACTGTGTGGTTGCTGTAGGTAATGAAAGTGCCTCTGGCAAAGCAGCTCCGCTCCTGCAGCAGCTCCCAGAGCTGGTGATGAGAGTCCATGGGAGTGAGACCAGATTGTGCAGCTCAGTGGTGGGAGTCCAGCGAGGAGGTGTCTGAAGCAGGTATGGCAAAGCGCATCCCCAAAGTCACACTTGATTTTAGAGACACAACAAGCCAAGCACTGACAGCCACCCATCACCTCCCAGCCCAGATTCACCTCTGATTCCCACCCTGCTTTCCTCCACCCCCTGCTCGTCGGCTGTTGTCCGGCAGAGCTGCCCCGACTCCTCCCCAGGATGTTGGTTTTATAGAATCCCAGGCTGGTTTGGATTGGAAGGGACTTTAAAGCTCATCCAGTCCCAACCCCCCTGCCAGCAGCAGGGACACCTTCCGCTAGACCAGGTTGCTCAAAGCCTCATCCAGCCTGGCCGAGAACACTTCCAGGGAGGAGCAGCCACAGCTTCTCTGGCCAACCTGGGACAGTGTCTGACCACCCTCACAGTGAAGAACTTCTTCCTAATATCTCATCTAAATCTCCCCTCTTTCAGTTTAAACCCATTTCCCCTTGTTTTGTCATTAATTGCCCTTGTGAAAAGTCCCTCCCCAGCTTTCTTGTAGCTCCTTCAGGTACTGGGAGGCCGCTATAAGATCTCCCTGGAGCCTTCTCTTCTCCAGGCTGAACAGCCCCAACTGTTTCAGCCTGTCCTCACAGCAGAGCTGCTCCAGCCCTCGGATCATCCTGGTGGCCTCCTCTGGACTTGTTCTAACTGGTCCATGTCTTTCTTCTGTTGGGGGCTCCAGAACTGGACACAGTATTCCAGGTGGGGCCTTACAAGAGCGGAGCAGAGGGGCAGAATCACCTCCCTCAACCTGCTGCCCACGCTGCTCTGGGTGCAGCCCAGGATACGGTTTTCCCTCCTGCAGTAATTTATTGGCTTCTGTAAATATATTCCGCTGGGAGCTGGTGTGTGAGAGTGGACTCTGCCAGGAGGTAGAGCTTATCAAATGTCACACCAATCTTATCTCGGGGGAAACGTACTTCAGTAATTAAATTAAATGAAAAGTCTTGGAATAAAAGCCTCAGAGGCTACGGCCGTCTGTTTATCTCCAAAATACGTGTGGAGCAGGAGATGGGAACGGGAGATGCCAGGGGGCTGGGCCAGGTCTCTGCTGGTTTGACTGTGTCCATGTGTGATGGAGCGTCTTGTACTTCTGTGCTTTGTGTTTTCTCCCTGAAGAAATGTGTTTCCTACCGAGAGAAAGGCCAGACCTGTGATTTTGCTGAAAACCAGCCCTGTGCAAATCGCCTGGGGGGCTGCTACTGACATCACCAATGGTGCCAGCTGAGGAGAAAACCCAGCTGGAGCTCGGTGGATGACGACTGTGTGAGTATCTCACCTCCCCTCCCCCCCCCACCCCACCCCATCAAATTCAGAAAGAAAAAAAAAATAATCAAAGTCTTGTTGTGGATAATTTGCACACAGAAAAAAGGGGCCAATGAATTGGGTGAATCCTTTGCCCAGCTCAGCTCCCGGCCTGTTGGAAGCGGCTCCTCAAGCCTGATGGTGTCAGGTTCTCTTTTGGCACCCATTTTTGGGGAAGCATCCCACCCCTGCTGCTTCCTCACGCAGCCCATTTCCATCGCTCCCAGGGCTGCAGCCAAATCAGCACTTCAAATTAAAGCCGTCCCCGCCGCGGTGCCGGTTTCCATGGAGATCCCAGCGGATGCTCCTTCCTCCTCCGGAGCTGATGGAGCGACAGCGCCCAGGGATGGTCCATGGGGGGTCCTGGGGGTCCCGAGCTCTGCAGCTGCCTTGGCCACGTGCTGCTGCTGGTGGATCCAGCATCTTTGGTCCTGGCGTGCCGGTGCTGCCACAGCTCCTCTGCTTTGCCTGGGTCATGCTGGGCTTGGCACCCATCCCCACCGGCACCAGGAACCGTCAGTGAGCGGGAGGGAGGGCAGGAGCTCCATGGGGAGGGCAGGAACCCTCTGGTGAATAGGGGATTCTCCCCAGGCAGCACTGGAGGAGTTCCCAGGACCTCTCCATGAAAAGCACCATCAGGTTGATTTGTTTGTAGCA